CCCGCCTTCCCGCTCCCTGGCGCTGCAGGACCAAGGCGGTACAGGAGCCTGTGGTGTGGCACTCACCCATCCGATGATGCTCGACACGCGGTCCAGGGGCTCAGGCATCACCGGGCATTGGTCGTTGGTGGGCAGCAGCCCGCCGAGCAGCACGCCAATCAGCAGCGGCATGCCAAGCCAAAACGCGCCCTCCCATAGCTGCCGCCGCCTGCAGCCCGGGCCCAGCAATCACGAACGGTGCTTGTCATTGGTCTGGTCGAGCAGGGAAGGCACCAGTGCCGTGACGAGGGTCGGGAGGGAGGAAGCTGCAGCAGCCCCATCTGCTGGCGCTGCCGCCGCTGGCGCCGCCACCATTGACCCACTCCCAGCCGGCAGCGGCGCGCACCTGCTGGGCGGGCAGAAGCCCAGGTTGATGACGGCGCAGTTCTGCTCAAAGTCCGCCCTCCCCTCGTCCCCTTCACCGTCGGGGAGCGGTTCGTGCTTCGGCAACAGCGGCGCCTGGCTCATCCTCTCCAGGTGGGGAGCCTCGGAGGGCGATGCAAGCTCTATTTCAGTGCCAGGGAATTCTGCCAGCGAACTTTGTGAGGCTGCAACTTGTGCGGGCTGTTTGAGGGGAGAGCGGCGAAAGAGTATGTTTTGATTGGTGGGCGGCAGCGTGGCTGGATTGGGGGTCACGGCAGTTGCCAGCACGGGGCGTCGTTCTTGCAAATACAGCGCGCCAAAGATTTGCATGCTATGCCAACGCATCGACAGACGAGCCAGCCGCAAAGGCTGGCGGGAGCTGAGCACTGTGCAATTGCGTCTGGGCTTTGCCAGTGAGCCGTGGGCTTTGCCAGGCGTCTTCACCACACCCCTCTTCCAGCCACCGGCTGGCCGTGTTCGGCTGCTGCGCATTGCTCATTCACTTTCCCTCAGCCCCGGCTCCATGCCACCCAGCATGCTGCCCTCCGAGGCGCCATGCATCTCGGGCGACATTGCATGCACGCCCAGCAACAGCAGCCTGGACAGCAGACAGCCCGCCTCAGAGCTGCGGCCTCCCAAGTCGGCCAAGCGGAGGGCCGCAGAGGCCCTGCTGCACCGCCGCTACAGCAGCAGCACCCTTGCCCCGGATGGCGGCGGCGGCGGCGCCAAGCGGCAGCGCACAGACCAGCAGCGCCCGCCGGTGCGCGTGGCGGCCTGCTCCGACTGCGCAGCCTGCAGCGCCGACTGCGTCGGCGGCAGCAGTACCGCGGCTGCCTGGTGCAGCCAGGATGTGGCACTGCCGCCGATGGACTGGCCGGCGGCACTCCAGTCTGTGTCTCTGGAGAGAGACGTGGTGGTGGATCAGCGCACCCAGTGCTACCACCTACCAGGTGTGAAGTAAAGACGAGCAGACGGGCACGCCCCGCCACCCGCCCACCCTGCATCCCACCCTGCATCCCGCCCAACCCGTACACCCACGCGCCACCCCCGCTTCCCGCAGGCGGCCTCCGCGTGCACGGTGGTGGCAGCCGAGGGGCAGCTGCCCGCGGCGCTGGCCGCGCTGCGCCGCAGCATGCAGGACAGCTGCGTGGCGATAGACCTGGAGTGGAAGCCAGAGGGCTGGGCCGGCGGCGGCCCCACACGCGTGGCACTCATGCAGCTGGCCTCTGCCACGGTGGCGGTGCTGGTGCGGGTGTGCCGCCTCGGCTTCCGCATGCCGCCCAGCCTGCGCGCTTTCCTCAGGTGAGCCGTTGGCTGCCGTTGGCTGGGCTGGGCGCCGCGTCCCAGGCACGATGGGTTTTGCCCTGTGGAGCCGCCTGCACCCTCCTGCTCCTCGGCCCACCGGCCTGCCTGCCCGCCTGCCTGCCGTGGGGTTGCGACGACTCGCAGCTCACCTGTGCGGCTGCCTGCCCCGCCCCGCGCGCCCGCCTGCCCTGCCCTGGCCTGCAGCGACCCGGACCTCACCTTCATCGGCTTCTCCTGGGACTCATCCGATGAAGTCAAGATGCGGCAGACGTTTGGGGAGGGCCGCCGCGAGCTCTTCCCTCGCTTCCTCGACCTGCAGCAGGTGCGGCGGCGGCGGCGCGGCCCGCGGCGGGCCCCGGTGGGCCCCGCCGCCCCACCTGCCGAGCTCGCGTTGCTGCCGGCGCTGGCACGGGCCTCACAGGGCGCCATGCCTGCACCCGACTTGCTGCGGCCCTCTGCGCCGATGCACCGGCTCTCACACCCTCCGCGGCACCCCCGGCCACCCTGGCACCTGCCCCCGGTACTGCAGGTGGGCGCCTCCCTGGGGTACCACGGCTTTGGGCTGGCCGCCCTGACCAAGCGGGTGCTGGGCTTTGCGCTGCCCAAGTGCCGCAAGGTGACCATGAGCAACTGGGAGGCGCGCCAGCTGTCGGCCAGGCAGGTGCAGTACGGCGCGCTGGACGCAGTCGTCACGGGCCACATCTTCCGCGGCCTGCGCCTCTGGCACGCCTCCCCCTCCGCCTGCACCGCGTGCCGCCAGATGCTGGGAGCGGTGAGGCGCGCCGGCGGCCGCCGCCGCCGCTGCTGCCGCGACCGCCGCTGTGCCACGCCGCCCGCTTGCCTGCGGGCCCATGCTCGGCGTGCCCAGCCCTGCGCTGTGCCTGCTGCATGCGGTGCGCGTGGTACATTGCAATGTACCATATGGGGGCTGCCGCTGCTGAGTTTGGCACGTGGGCGATGAGGAAGCGATGCAGCTGAACGCTTCTTGCTGATACAAACCATCAGACTCTCCTACTCATTCTGAGCCCAGCCGATGCCCCTGCTGCCGCTGCTGCATGCCTGGCGGGCACGCTGCGCCTTGCCGTCCTCTCTCGCTGCTCGCCTGCGCGCTGCCCATCCTGCTGCCCTCTTCGTGCTGGCTGGGCGGGTGACGAGAACGATGCAGCTGAACGCTTCTTGCTGATACAAACCATCAGACTCTCCTACTCATTCGGACGCCCCCAATGCACATCTGCCGCTCTGTTTGCTGCGTGCACTGCGCTCCAGCTGCCGCTGCTGCTGCTGCTGCCCCCGCCGTTGGCTTCTGTTCTGTGTGCCTGCGCTCTATAGTGGCTCGGCCGAGGGGCAGGTGACGAGTTTAGGACAATTGGGTAATTTGCAACCGACTCTCGCTGACGACACTTTGCCTTCCGATGCCCCTCGGACCCTCGCCCCGCGCTGCCAGCCTCACGCGCACCTCTTGCCCTGCTGCCGCATGCTGTGCCTGACGTGCCCCCTGCCGCGCGCCCCTCCCACCCCTGCCCACCGCTTGCAGGTGCTGCCGCAGCCCGCATGGCACTGCCACGACTGCAGCCGCGACTTTTCCACCAGCGGCGCCCTGCAGAGCCATCGGGCGCAGAAGAGGCACCGTGTGAGCCCCGCGGTGTGCGATGAGTGCGGGCGGGTGCACGCACAGCGGGCACCAGAGGGAAGCAGCGCCGGCGCTCTGGCGCTGTTGTGAGGGAGCAGCTCGTTCAACCCCCCGGGCGCCGATTTGGCACCCAACTGCCCACTTTGATTCACCCCGCCATTTTTGCCATTGCGCTTGTTACTTTCCTTGACCCTGTGTTGCAAAGAACTGATCGCCCCTGACTGACCATGTTGCATGCTATCCTGACTGGCCTCCCTGCCTCTCCTGTTGCTCCCGCCGGGCAGCCCACCTCTTGCCTGCTGCGCATTCATGGCGCCCCGGCCACTCAATGCAATTCTTGAAGTAGACAGTGCTGACATCCAGGGCGGTGGGAAGGCAGAAGAGGAAGGAGAGGCAGAGCCCTCTTTAGGAGAGCTTAGCTTGGCTGGGGGGGAAGAGAAGCTGCGGCCGCGGCGTGGGTGGCTCCGCCAGGGTGGCCATGACCCTGGGCCTCCCGGCCCATCAATGATGGGTATGCGTTCCCGTGGCCACACAATCTTCTCTTCTTGCGCTTCCACGCCCATTGTCGTCCGGCCAGCCGGTTAGAGGACGCTCAGTAGAGCCATGGTGACCCGCACTGCCTCCCCCCTCCAAGTGGCAGCCATCGCGTTCATCTGTGTGGGATCGGTGTCGGCATTCGAACGCACCGATTGGTGGTACAAGACATGCCCAGGAGGAGACTATGCCGCGACGCCCGACAAGTGTGAGTGGTTTCGCCAGCGCATTCTGCCTGCCTGTATGAGCGCAATGGTCATGAATATGCCGCAGTTGATTGGCGGCGAGAAGTGCCGGTCGGACGGGCCAGTACAGCGCCATGCATGGCTCCATGGCGCTGGTACCTGCCACCGCCTGCCGGAGGAGCTGCTGCGCATCCACAGCTGACACTATGCATGCCGTTTGCCTCTTGATCAGCGGCCTTGTGAATCCATATCCCACAGGCAGAGAACCATGCAGCTGACTGAGGGCCTGCACATGCCTCTTTGCCGCTGCTGCAGGCGCCACATGCACGTGTGGGGTGCGGCCCGGGCTGGGCGGCGCCGACTGCTGGCAGTTCCCAAACACCTTCTGCAGGTACGCCCACCAGCATGACATGCCCTGGTGGCCATGCTGGAACGATCCATGCCATGAAGCGCTGCTGGGCGTGTGCTCTGCTGAGGGCCTGTTGCTCTTGTGGGGTCCGCTGGTGGGGAAGGCGCTGCCTGTTGGCCCGCCCACCTCCTCCCTCCCGCCGCCTCCTGGTGCAGCTGCTTCCAGGGCAAGGGCGAGAAGTGCAGCAGCGTGCGGCGGGTGCTGGAGTACAATGACAAGCTGGGCAGGAGTGTGACGGTCAAGCGCAAGCTAAGCCAGCTGTGGTGAGAGGATCGGATGGCGGCCCGCCCGCTGCAGCGCTTCTGGCCAGTGCTGCACGCTCTGTTTGTAACCATCGAGCGGGACGCATGGCGCTGTCCCGCTGCGGCGCTTCGCAGCTGTGCCCCTAGCCATTTCCAACGGGCGCCACTTGCGCCGTCCCCCCACCCTCTGCCCCCTCGGTGCGCTGCAGCCCCGACGGCTTCCGCTGCCGCAACAGCGCCACGGGCCCCTGGTGCTGCCCGCGCAAGGCGGTGGGCAAGCCCAGCCGCGGCTGAAAGGCGCCCAACGCCCCCAAGCTGCCCGCTGCCTGCCGCCGCAAGGGGCTGCCCACCGGAGAGCCCTGTGACTTCCCCTGACCAGCCGGCCCCCTCCCTGGGGCTTCCCACGGAAGCCCATGGACCGATGAACCCCTTCCGGATGCAACCATCAACCCTGGCGTCGTGTGCGTGTGCACGCGCCGCACCCTCCACGCCCATCTCAGCCCTTCCCACCCTCCGCACCCTGCCAGCGCGACCTATAACGCATTGCTTGTCTGCCAATCCCTTCCCATGAAATTGACTTCTGCTGCACAAGCACAGCCTTGCCCCGATTCATGCCACCATTCCTTACCGCATCTACTTGTCCCTTACTACGCAGCGCCCTACGGCGTCACTGCTCGATCATGTCTTGAATTATTTACTAAATCCATCAGATCAGAGGTCTCTTCTGAAAACACGGACTTTGTAAGGTGCTACTACAGCTGGCGCTGGCGCCGGCGGCGGCCAGCGCACATGCTGGTCGGCATGGGGCGCCGCCCTGCCCTGTCCAGCACAGCTGAACGCTGCCAGCCACAGGGCAGCAGCCCTGCGCGCCAACAGGCTACACATTGAGGTGGTCCACCGTTTAGGAAAGAACCTTGGAACAGAGAGCCGACCCTTGGCCTCCACAGCCATTCGAACCTTGGATGAGTACCTGGTAGCCTCCCTAGCAAAGACATCAATCAGCAAGCGGACATGCGAGGCGTGGGCATGAACGGGGCGCTGCTCCTTCTGGCGGCAGCCCTGATTCTGCAGGCCTGGAGCGTGGGGGCACCCAGCAGGGCTGGCAGCAGCAGCCTGGGCCATCAGCGGCAGGGGGCTGCGGCGGCAGCAGCGGCGGGCGCTGGCGTAGCTTCGCCCCTGCTGCCTCGATCCCGCGCTCTCCAGCAGGAGGCCCCAGTTGACCCTGCCACTCTGAACAACTTCACAGGTGAGTCAAGGAGGGATGGCCTCACGGAGAGACAAAACTGCCGTCGCTGCTGGCAAAGTGCCCGCCCGCCTCCTGCGCTGCTTGCAGGCGTGCCCGTGCTGCCGCTGATCGGCCCCCGCAGCGTGCTCGTGGCGCTGCCCCTCATGCTCGCCCTCTCCGTCAGCATCCCCCTGGGCTGCTTCTTCTGCTGCCACCTGTTTTAGACGATCTCCTGAGAGCGCCGAAGAAGCAGCATGGCTGGCAGCCCTTGCTGACCACCCGTGGCACAACCTCACCCGCGACGCGACGGCAGCCGCCCAAGCCCACCCGCACCTGCCTTGCCCAACCATTCTCACTGCCATGATGGCCCCACGCGTGTACAGATGTGTGTTACAGCGGATGCCAAACAAGTGTAGCACCGCAGCGGGAGGGAAACAGGGAGAGAGGGAGACGGCGCATTTGAGGTGCGTGCAGAGCAGGCGGGAGCAAGGGGATGGACAGCTGGGAAGCAGATAACCCAGCACGGTGTGGAACACAGGTGGAACACAGCGGTGGCAGTTCCAGACAGGTAAGGGGGCATGTCTCACCGGCGCTGACCGCCCGCGTTGCGGGCGGCAGCGGGCCGGCGGCCCGTGTCGCAGGGCGGGGGGCACTCGGTGTAAGGTGCCAGGGGGAGAGGTCGAGAAAGAATAAATGGGGGCCTAGGCGACTCCCTATCTGGAGCTATGAGTTGGTGGCGACATCAAAATCAAACACTGGTCATTTCAGTCAGGCCAGCTAAAGGCTGCTCTCAGCGAATGGGACGGCGGCTGCCAGCTGGCAGCGCGCCGAGCCGGGCCTGCTGCCAATCATCAGCGCCGCGGTGGCCGACACGGCGGCGGCCAGGGCTGCGGCGCTTGCGCCGGGCCCCTCTGCAGTCGGCGCCGCGGCGCCGGTGCTGCTGGCCGGGGAGCGCAGGGAGGAGCGGGACAGGCGGCGGCGGGTGGAGGCGGAGGCGGCGGCACCGCCGGAGCTGGGGCGGCGAGAGGTATCCAGGGTGTGAAGGATCTGTATCTCAGCCACCTGGCTGGATGCCTCGGACAGGCAGCGGCTCAGCCGGTCCAGCTGCTCCAGCTGCTGATCCAACAGCTGCGCAGCGCCCGCGGGCGCGGCGGCTGCCGCCGCCTGCGCCGCCTCCCAGGCCCGGGGGCTGGCCCGGCACAGCAGCGCGCACCGCTCGGCCGCGGCGCGCGCCCCCGCCTGCGCCGCCTGCAGCTGGCTGGCCGCCGCGGCGCGGGCCTGGTGCAGCGGGCAGGGCGGGTCGGTGGCGCAGCCGGCGGAGCCGCCGCTTGAGGCGCTGCCGGTGCTGCCCAGCGGCGAGGAGCTGCTCGACAGGCGGTGGCGGGAGGGCGGGGTGCTGGGGCTGCTGCCCGCGTGGCGGTCGCTGGCATGCGAGCCTGCGAGGAGCACCAGGCAGAGCAGGGAGGCGAGCGGGCGTGGCGTTTGAGCTGCACTGCGGCGGCTGCTGCACCCCGCCTGTTGTTTATTTAAACACGCCTGCCAGCAGCTGGTGTTTGCCTGCGTGGCCAGCCGCAGCCCACGCACCTGAGGCAGAGGCGAAAGAGCCGGTGCTTGCGGGCGCCGAGTGCATGGGGTGCTTGCACGGCGTGGCTGGCTGGCTGCCCGCGGCGGCGCCGCCGCGCAGCGAGCTGGGGCGGCGGGCGTGCAGCGGGCGTGGGGCAGGAGGGCTGCCGCTGCTGGCAGCCAGGGCCCGCTGGGCCAGCTGCTTGAGGGCGGTCTCAGACTGCTGGGCACGGAAGGAGGCGGCAGGCGGCGCCGCGGCAGGCACAGCAGGCCCAGCAGGGGCGACCGCAGGCACCAGCCTGGGGATCCTGCTGCCGACAGCCGTGGCCGGCGCCGCAGCCGGCATCGAGGCAGCGGCAGGCAGGGACTGGGCGCTGTGGCGCCTGCTGATGCCGCTGGCGGCGGCAGGTGTGGAGGCGCCTGGCGCAGCGGGGATGCGCCAGGTGGGGGTGCCAGGAGCGGGCGAGGCAGCGCCAGAGGCAGAGGAGGGCTTCACGCTCAGATGACCTGCAGCCAGGAAGGCACAGCCAGGCAACCATGGGCAATGCAGGGCAGCATGCTTATGCACATGGTGGCGGGCACAGCATGCATGCATGCCTGCACTGCTCATCCGGCAAGCACGGCACACCCAGCTGGCTGGCATCTGCCGCCCACCTGAGTGCAGCCAGCTGGACACCTTGGCGGCAGGGGACATCTGGTGGGAGCCGGCAATTGGGATGGGGCAGGGCGGGGCATCCTGCGCCTGCTGCTGCACTTGCTGCTGCTGCTGCTGCTGCTGCGGTGGCGGCTGTGAGGGTGTCTGCTGGTGCTGGGCGGGAGGCGCGGGGCCCTTGAGCGGGCTGCTCCTGCGGACGGCGGCGGAGGCTGCCCGGGGGGTGGCAGCCGCAAGGGGCGAGCCTGGGAGGGACTGCCGAGAGTGGGGAGTGGCGGCTGAGCTGGTGGGACGCCACAGGCGGGAGGGCGATGGTGGTGCAGCCGTGGGGGCTTGAGCTGTGGCCTGCCGCCTGGCTGGCCCACCCCTGTTGAGCGCGAGTGCGGCTGCTGCGGCCGCAGGGGCGCTCCCCGCTTGCTGCCTGCGCTGCGGCTGGGCCGGCTTCTGCGGGCCCAGGCTGAAAGCGGTGGCAGGCCTGGCAGAGGCCGCCCTGCTGCTGGGCGAAGCGCCAGCCGTGGCGACGTGGCCCAGCTGCCTGGTGGTGCGGCGACTCAGCCCGCCGGTGGTGGTGGTGGCGCGGGGCTTGGCCGCCGGGGCGGTGCGCACGTGCGGGAGGGGCAACACGGCGCCGTCGCTGCTGGCGCGGCGCCGCCTGCATGCTGCCTGCTGGCTTGGGACTGTGCAGAGCCAGGACTCTGCATCGTCCTGCTGCTTGCCCAGCTCACCATCCATCCAAGCAGTGGCGGCATCCATGCCCGGCGCCTTCTGCTGGTGCTGGGCAGCGCTGACGGGGCTCGCCACCTGCCGCTGCTGCTGCTGCTGCTGGGACCTGTCCGGGGCGGCCTGCTGGGCACCAGAGCTTGGCTCTGCAGTCAGCCAGTCGGCCTGGTCCGGCGCTGCGGCGGCCAGCATGCGTTCAAGGGCAAAGTCGGAATCCGAGTGCACTCGAGGGCGGGATATCTGTTGAGCGTCGTTTGGTGCGGCTTGCATAAGGCCATCCTGGAAGGAGGGGGGCAGTGTTCAAGCAGTTGAGGTACAGTTGAGGGCGCCCAGGGCGCTGCCTATCGGCAATGTGCCCCCTGGCCGCTCGGCGGCGTAGAGGGCCACACAACGGGGCGGCATAGCCCATTGCATCACTCCAAAATCCCGGCAAGCATGCCTGGGGGCTCTCCAGGCGCACCAGTGGCGAGGCTTCTGCCCAATCTTCGCCGGCAACGGCAGCAGATGGGTGCGCGCAGCATGCGAGGGAAAGCAGCGCGGTGGGGGACGCCCTCGACATAGTTGCTGCCTCTACGTCGTTATGGCCTGCAAGAGCTGCGGGGAGGCGCAATGGGCGAAGTGAGGCGGCACAATTGCGACAAACGCGGCAGAGGTGTGGTGGCCTCTTGCGACTCCTCCAACAGCAAGCTATTAATGTTTGTTATTGCAAAGGAGTCGGGCACTCACTATGGAGCCTGACGGAGGCCGGTAAAGGGGGACATGGAGCGTTTCGGAGTCAAAGCGATGTCTTGGCGGGCATGTGAGGGCGCCAGTGCCTTTTATGTCGGCAGGGAATGAGAATGGGGCGTGGCGGAGTGCGAGGAGTCGGCCACGGCGCTCCTGCGCCGCCTGCTTTGCCAACTAGACCTCCACCATTGAGCGCCTTTGAGGCTCAAGATGCGTTCATTCCACTCCACCGATCGCCGTATACCACCTTCAAGTGCTGGAGGCTCCTTATCAGCTTGGCCGCCGCGATGCGGCGTCTGCGGCACCTAGGAAGCGCCCTGGCGCGCTGCAGCAGCCGTGTGCATGGCGAGGAGGCTCCCAATGCAGCCGAATGGGCGCGGCAGGGCGCCTGCCAGGCTGCCGGCTTCTCGGGCCGAGCGGCGGCGCAGCCGACTGTGTGGCCGCAGGCGAGCGGCGGCGTGTGCTGTCGTGCGGCTAGCAGATCCAGTTGCAGTTTGCAGCACGCGCTGACACACCCGTCCAACCCTGATCATGACCCGATGGTTGTGCAGGCGGGCTGGAGCCCTGGCGGTAGCCCGTCGTGCGGCCACCTGTCTTGGCGATACCAAGCGGCGGCGCCAGTCAGCTGCTCCGCCGCCAGCCAGCTGCTTGCGGTGAGCATGCCGCTGGGGAGCTGCGATTGCTGCGACACTCTGTGGACGTGCTTGCATGCAGGGCAGCCAGCTGCATACTATGCCTGAACGTACCGGGGCCTGCGCCACGCAGAGCCGTCAAGTGGAGGCAGGGAACAAGGAGGCGCAAGGGGCCATCAAAGCTCCTGTCGGCAGCAGCGGCGGCGGAGGCAACAGCGGCGGCGGCAGCGGCAGGCCTGCCGCAGCGCCGGCCACCGTGAGCGGCGGCAGCAGCATGGAGGAGCAGGGGGGATCCGTGAGGGACACGGAAATCCTAAGAGAAGCGGCGCAGTGAGTTGTAGTGGTGCTGGAGCAGCCATGTGGCGGCGGTGCTGGCTGTGCTGCCTGCCTGGTGGCTGGGCAGCACGCTTGCCCGGCCCAGCAGCTTGCCGCCCTCCCGTGTGCCGCACAGCAGATGCCTGCCGCCTTGCCATCCCATTGCCTCGCCACGCAGGTATGTGTTCCCCAAAGGCAGCACCGCGTGGCGGTCCCGGGTGGCCGTCGCGATGGCGCTGCTGCTGGGCAGCAAGGTGCTCAACGTGCAGGTGGGCTGGCAGGCTGGGGTGGGGGCCGCACAGCAGGAGGGTAGGGGAAGGCAGGCAGGGGGCTGCTGTATGCCGCCGCCTTGCTTGTCTGGTGCCTCCCTCTTCTGCTTTCCCCCTGTCCATCCCGTGGCCTCGGCGCATGCCCCCCCCAACCCGCAGGTCCCTTTCCTCTTCAAGTACACAGTGGACAGCCTGACTGCAGACCCCAGCGCCCTGACCCCCGCCGCCGTGGCGGGCGTGCTGGCGCTGACGCCGCCCGCACTGATCGTGGGCTACGGCGTGGCGCGCGCCGGCGCCGCGCTCTGCAACGAGGCCCGCAACGCCGTGTTTGCACAGGCGAGAGCGGCCCGGGTGCTATTTTGCTCTTGTGCAGGGTTCTGGGGTTGAAGGCCGCTGGGGTTGGCCCGCCTTTTAGGGGCAAAGTGCCGCCGCCCCCCCATCCCTCTCCAGCGCAGTGCTCCCTCCACCACCCCACCGCCTCCCTGCCATCCCCACCTTGACCCACCGCCACCCGCGGTACCGCCGCCGCCGTGTGCCGCAGGTCACCCAGGGCGCCATCCGCTCCGTGGCTGCCAAGGTGTTTGGCCACCTGCACGGCATGGACCTTGGCTTCCACCTGTCGCGCCAGACGGGGGCGGTGTCGCGGGCCATTGACCGTGGCACACGGGGAATCAACTTTATCCTCAGGTGAGGATGAGAGGAGGGGAGGGGAGGCAGGGAGGGGGAGGGAGGGGCGTCGGCTGGGCGCGGCATGCTGGCTTGCTGGGGCGGCGAGGCCGGCGGGAGGCGGGGCGTGCGACCCTCCATGCTCCCTGCCATGGCAACTGCATGTACCGCTTGCACTGCTCCGACGCGCTTCGATGATGTACCGCTGATGTACCGCCACGGTACCGCAGCTCCATGGTCTTCAACGTGGTCCCCACCGCCTTTGAGGTCACCCTGGTGGCGGGCATTCTGGCCTACAAGTGCGGCCCCGCCTTTGCCGCGCTCACGGCGGGCACCATCGCCGCGTACACCGCCTTCACCTTCTCCATCACGCAGGTGGGCTGGGGTGTGGGTTGGGTTGGGTGGTGTGTGTGTGTGTGTGTGTGGGGGGGGGCGGGGGGCAG